CCTGGGAAACGAGGATCTATATCAACTGGTAAAGGCTTTTTATTTCGAGCCCAATTGTTCCCGACTGATCCTGTTTTTCTGGTCGGGTGGTCACGTACTAAAACCTTTTCTTTCACCTCCACATTAAACGAACCGTCTGGTCGGTCCCATTTTTCAGCGACTGGCCTTTCAACAACTTTGAGTCGTTCTTCCGGTCGGCCACTGTTTTGCTGACTTCCTTTTTTTGTTCCGGGGCTTGCCTGAGTTCGTTCCCTTGTTTGTCCATCATTGGCCGAACTTTTCCCTGTTTCCGAACTTGGTTGGAGGTCAACCATTGCCGTTGTTACTTTCGGAAACGGTTACTGGTCTACACCTAGAGTGATGTATTTGAGCCGACCTGTCTTGATGGCTTTTTGAATTTCCTTCCTGAAATGAGTACACTGACTTGTATTGTGTGTGAAAGAATTATGCCACTTGCAGTATGGTCTCCCTTTGATTTCTTCTTTAGTGGCCAGTCTTTGCCCCTTTGGAATACGGATCTGCCCATCAGTCAGCAAGATATCAAAAATGTCATCAGCTTTTGAACTATCAAACGTCGGTTGCTCCTTTCCTTCAGATCCTGGTACTGGCTTCAATTTGGGGCATACATAAGGTTTTCCAGAAAGGATTTCGGCTGCCATCTCTTCTGACTGATTAAAATCAAAATCACATGTTTATGTTCCCATACTCGCCATATGTTGGCCTCTATTACGCCTGTTATGCTGATCTTCCTCTCTGAACAAAGACTCTAAACGTCCTGCCTTGGATGCAAGACTTGCCAAATCCTCAACATCCAGGGCAGTGAGTGCCTTTCTTAAGCGAGTATGCATATTCCGGACCACTAAATTGGTCATCTCTTTCTCACTGATTACTGTAGGACATCGCCCCTTCATCAATCGCACCCTTTCTATAAACTTTGAAGCAGATTCTTCCGGATACTGTCTCAATTCTAATAAATCAGTTAAAGAAACAGTTGGTAAAGGATTGAAGAATCTGGCATGAAATGCCATCTCCAGACCTTCCCACGTCTGAATTTGTCCAGGGGGCAGACTTGCAAACCACGAGAACGCTGTTCTAGTAAGAGATAAACCAAACAGCTGCAACTTATAAAAAGGGTTATTGCCAACTTCTCCTAATTGTGCTGTGAACCGACCAACATGTTCTATGGTAGAAGATCCGTCCTCCCCTGAGAATGCATGAAAATCGGGTGGTCGATAATTCCTTGGGAGAGGGTGTTCATTAATGATCCTTTCTGGGAAGGGTCTCTGATATGCAGGGCGGTTAGCCATCTGAGGAGTTAATCCATACTGATCCCTTAATATATGTGCAATCTCATCAGGATCTACATGAAAGCGTTGATGATCAGGAACATGGAACGGATCCTGCACAGGAATATGAATAGGATCATGTATATATCCTTCTGGCCTGTCCTCCCTTGCATTGTTCGGCTGCGGATTGGTAACCCTTGGTCCCAGTGGAACAGTGTTGGGAAAAGTCAGAGGAGATTTTCCCCTATCCATTCGGTTGGGATTTGTGGCACTTGGGAATGTACTATCCACGAATGATGGCCCTGCGAAATTTGCCTGTGGTCTGGACGGTGATACTCCTGGTGGAGTTTGAGTGGGTTGAAGACTAACCCTTGACAGTGCTTGATCTATCATGTTCTGCATCAGACTCTGTTGCTCACGCAACATGTTCGTTTGTTGCTCACGCAACATATTCTGCATAACCAAAGTGTGCTGGTTGTTCATTTGTTGAACATAAGACCACCAATCAGTTGGTGGTTGTGGGATTTCCCCGGCATTTGGCACAATAGGTGGTGGAACGGATTCTCCCACCGGTGCCGAAGATGATTGAGGTTGTGAACCTGCCATATGGACCCTTCCGATGATACGGCCGGATCTTAGACGTATGAAATTATCGCCGGAATTGGAATGAGCAATTTTGTCTTGCTCCCACTGTGGTCGCCAATTTGTTGATGTATTTTTTCAACAAAAATAAAGTAAAATTCAAAGATATAGAAAATATCCTTAAACTTGATTAATTAGTGCCTGAGATTAGGAATCTCTAAACACTGTATGGTACAGAAAATAAACTGGAAAATAAAAGACTGAAATTTAAAGTGGTGATCCCCAAATCTGACTTTGCTTTGTTGAAGTTGATTGAAGATGCCTTGCCAAATGATGATCCAAATCCTTAAATATTCTTTGAAGAAAACGTACCGAAAACCGTCGCCCGAACGGTTACAACGTCTCCTTCCCAACCGTCTTCCAACCCTTCTCCTGCTGACACGTGTCCTCAGCAGACCAAAATTATCCCTATATTTCACTCTTTGAGCCGACCACAGACCTTCCGCCCTTTTGGCCCGACTTCGTCCTTCGCCCGACCTGCTTCTTCGCCCGACCTCACTTGGGCCGACCTCCGCATCAGCCGCCCTCCGTCTTTGACCGAAAACCTCCGCGTCTTTCCGTACCTCTTCCTTGCCCGACCTTCCTCTTGACAGACCTCCGCTTCTGCCCGACTTCGCCTTCTATCCGATCTACGGTTTACCCGACCTGCAGACTTCCCATCCTGATGACTTTCCGTCTTGAGGACCTCCCGACCTGAAGACCTTCCGACCTGAGGTCTTTCCGTCTTGAGGACTTTCCGTCTTGAGGACCTCCCGACCTGAAGACCTTCCGACCTGAGGTCTTTCCGTCCTGAGGACCTTCCGTCTTGAGGACCTCCCGACCTGAAGACCTTCCGACCTGAGGTCTTTCCGTCCTGAGGACCTTCCGTCTTGAGGACCTACCGACCTGAAGACCTTCCGACCTGAGGTCTTTCCGTCCTGAGGACCTTCCGTCTTGAGGACCTCCCGACCTGAAGACCTTCCGTCCTGAGGTCTTTCCGACCTGAAGTCTTTCCGTCCTGTATTTTCCTTGATTTCCACACGATGTCCTGCAGCCAGTTCAATCAACTCTATTGCCAGGCCCATTCTTCTTTTTACCTTGGGCTTTTAACCTAATTCTAAATTTCGTACGTAACAGAATAATACGCAAGGAAAGGAATAAAAGATAGCCATTAAAAAAACTTATTTTATTTGTTATAAATATTCTACTAAAACTAAAAGAACAAAATAATAAGTACTCTAAAATAAAACTATCACAACAATGGAGTAACAATATACTCCCTCCGTCCATTAAAATTAGCACATTTAGGTCTGTTACGGGAATTAAGAAAAATAAATTTTTTATTAAAAAAGTGATAGATAGTTTGGGATATTTTTGAAAATTTAATTAAAAAGTAAAGTAAATAAAGAGATAATGTAATAAAGTTGGTGGTATTTGTTGTAAATAAGTGTTGAATTGAAGATAATAATTAAATGTTGATTTGTTAACCTTGCCAAAATTAGTAATAGGATAAATTTAGAAGATGGATTAAAAAATAAAGTGAGAATAAATTTGGCGGGCGGAGGGAGTATTTTGTAAGTATAATAATCGATTCAATGCGGAATAGAACTCAAGAATCGAAACTACCCAAGAACATACCTCCGGCCATTGGTGTCAAACTCGAATGTAATCTTTTGTTGTTCTTCTAAGTACTTGCACTATCTTTTCTAGATGGTGTAGAAGACTTTATATAGTGATACTTATGGGACCAAAAAGTCCAAAATTCATGTCTCAATTACTTCAATCTATCAAAAAAGTAATCGACATGAAGAGTGGGGCGTGGAGAGAGTAGTGGAGACCTTTCACATATGTCACATTAACATTTAGTAATGGAGCAGTGGAGTAGCAAGGATAGTAGAGTAGTAGAGACTTTTTACATAAGTCACTGTTTCACATAGACCACGTAATATTAACATTCTCCCATTTGGTCTATCATTTACTCCATACGAAAAAAAAAGAAAAAAAAAAGAATCATGGCGATAGACCATCTTCAATGAGTATTATCTTCCATGTATTACAATGTAATTTGATTTCTAAAACCACTCAAACATCTTAATGAATAAACCCTATGTTTATTCTAGGTCCTCACATTTACAATAATTTTCTCAAGACAAATATACGCATAAAACTAAATGAGAAAATACCAACTACATAAGAGTTGTATTTAATACAAAAATGTACGAATAAGTGAAATTACATCACAAAACAAAGTCTCATTCATACTCCATGATTCTTAAAATTCTTTAGTGGCATAATTTTAGTTAAGAGATCAACAATCAACAATTCAGTACTAATATATTCAATGACTATTTTATTTTCTTTAGTACGTTCTCTATTTTTATACGATGACGACCAATCTAATAGATGACGACCGCATTTTTTTTTATAGGATGAATATATTTGATTTATTGTTAATATATATATATATAATTGTTAAAAAAATATCTAAAGGTGTTACCAAAATATTAACAAATATTTTATTTAAAAAATTGACTATTACCAAATTTAGATATAATTAGATTAGAAAGTAAAATACTTCTTTTGTTGTGAAGTGTACACGGCAATGTCGACACGGAGGATACGTGGATGCTTTTATTCACAACCAAACTTTTACCTGTACATGTATATAAATGGAATGGAATGAAAGGATCACCCATGCACAAACACAATACAATTCTCAATCTCTTTCTCTGCCTCTTCATTCATATTAATACTATCCTACTTAATAATACAATATAATATATAAAGGTACACATTATATATATATACACTCACGCAGCGCACACATATATATATATTTACTTATATATATTATATACAATATATAAAATAGTGGTTAGCGGTAGAGATAATTAATATTTCTATTGGCTAATCCTATAATAACATCACAACACGTTATCAGCATGATTATATATTTTATTTTCGGCAAGGTAATATTTTATATTTTATCTGTTTATTATGACTAACATTGCCAAACAGGAATTTCTCCCTCTCCTCGTTTCTGACCAAAATTATATGGCATGGGCTCGCGATGTTAAAATACATCTGGCATCAATGGGCTTGGAAAATACCATTGCCCGGGATAAAAACTCCCCGAGCCAAGATCGTGCAAAGGCCATGATCTTTTTGTGCCATCACATCGATGAGGCACTGAAAATGCAGTATGTCACGCTGGAATCCCTACTCGAATTGTGGGAGAGATTGAAAGAAAGATATGATCATTTGAAGCTGATATTGTTGCCAAGGGCACGAAGCGAATGGCAAAGCCTACGGCTTCAGGACTTTAAAACAGTCCAAGAATATAATTCTGCAATGTTTAAAATAACATCACAGTTGCGCCACTGTGGCAAAAATGTATCTGAATCTGATATGATGGAGAAAACTTTCTCCACTTTTCATGCATCTAACATGGTTTTGTAGCAGCAGTATCGCGAAAGAGGCTTCCAGAAATATTCTGAGCTGATCACCTGTCTTTTGCTGGCCGAACAAAATAATGAATTGCTGTTGAAAAATCACGAATCTCGGCCGACAGGTGCAAATCCATTTCCAGAGGCAAATGCAATACAGCCGGCAAATCCGGTGCGTGGTCATGGGCAAGTCAGAAATCAGCGAATTGATCGCGATCGAAATCAGAATCGCGGATGGGGCCGGGCAAACGCATACAGTCACAATAATTATCAAAACAGGCCCCGATATGTGCCAAATCGGCGATATAATGACAGAAGGCCGTACATACCTCAACAGAGGTTCAACACCGGGAGAAACAGAAACAAAAACGAGGAATGCACCCGGTGTGGAATCAAAGGTCATTGGGCCCATGTTTGTCGCACAGCCAGTCACTTGGCTAAACTGTATCGGGCCTCAAAAGAAAGACAGGGAAGGATTGCCCCCGAAACAAATCACGCTGCCCACGATCACACATTTGACGATGTGATGAATGAAAATATCACGCACCTGGATGCTGATGATCCGCTTGACATAGCTGATGATGTTAAATGATAAAATATTGTTGTATCCCTTTTGTCATTTTGATGTTTTTTGCCCCCCTTTTTTGTATTACCCCCTATAATATAAGTCTATTTTGATTATGTTACTAATACATGTCTTTTATTATTTTTACCTTCTTGCAAAGCTATGGATGCCAAATATTTTGGAGCCGATGACAACATCTGCCTTATCGACAGTGCTACAACTCACAGCATTCTGAAAAACAAAAGTTATTTCTCCCATCTTAATATGGGAAAGACCACAATTGTTACTATCAGTTGTGCATCGAAAATGATTGAAAGCTCAGGAAAAAGCTATTGTATATCTCCCAAAAGGGACAAAAATGGCAATTGAAAATGCCTTGTTCTCGAGCAAAGCTCGAAGGAATTTACTGAGCTTCAGTGATATTCGGAAAAATGGGTATCACATTGAAACATTGAATGAGGCAGAAAATGAATATCTTCTGATAACTCAGGTTGTGAATGGCAAAAGAATTGTGAAAGAAAAATTGTCATTATTTTCTTCCGGCTTATATTACTCAAAAATCAGTGTCATTGAAACATATCACTTAGTAGACCAAATGGCTACTAGCGAATTTAAAACTTGGCACGATCGACTTGGGCATCCTGACAATGTAATGCTGAGGCGAATTGTTGAAAATTCAAATGGCCACTCATTGAAAAAGAAAAATATTTTGAGTCCGAATGAGTTTGCTTGTGCTGCCTGTTCCCAAGGGAAGTTAATAATCAGGCCATCTCCAACAAAGGTTGGATTTGAATCCCCAGCTTTTCTGAAAAGAATTCAGGGTGATATTTGTGGACCAATAGATCCACCATGTGGACCCTTCAAGTACTTTATGGTTACTAATTGACGCGTCAACGCAATGGTCATACGTATGTCTCTTATCTACTCGCAATCTAGCTTTTGCTAGACTACTTGCACAAATAATTAAATTGCGAGCACAATTTTCAGATCATCCAATAAAGAAAATACGTCTAGATAATGCTGGAGAGTATTCATCACATACATTTGATGATTACTGCATGTCAATTGGGATTACTGTGGAACATCCTGTTCCCCATGTACATACGCAAAATGGCCTGGCTGAATCTCTTATCAAAAGATTGCAATTAATTGCTAGACCATTATTGATGAGGTCTAAACTTCCTGTATCATGTTGGGGACATGCTATACTGCATGCAGCAGCCCTCGTGAAAATAAGGCCGACCAGTTATCACTGTTATTCCCCCACTCAATTGGTTTCTGGAAAAATACCAAATATATCTCACTTGCGAATATTTGGGTGTGTTGTTTATGTGCCAATTGCACCACCTCAACGCACGAAAATGGGACCTCAAAGAAGGTGGGTATATATGTCGGGTATGAATCACCCTCGATTGCGAAATATCTTGAACCAACAACGGGTGATTTTTTTACTGCGAGGTTTGCAGACTGTCATTTTGACTAATCACATTTCCCGACATTAGGGGAAGACAGTAATCAATTGAAAAAAGAAATTTCGTGGAAAATACCACTTGAATTTGATCCTCGTACGAAACATAGTGAACTTGAAGTTCAAAGAATTGTGCATTTGTAGAAAATTGCAAATCAATTGCCTGATGCTTTTAATGATGCTGCCAGAGTTACGAAATCATATATTGCAGCAGCAAATGCACCAACTAAAATAAATATCCCAGAAGGGAAGGTGCCGAGTGCTAATTAGCATACTGCCCGCGTAAAACGTGGCAGACCGTTGGGTTCCAAAGACAAGAATCCATGAAAGAAGAAAATTGTAAATACTGGTGAAGAGATCAACAATGATCAGATACCTGAAAAGGTCAGTACAACCCCTAAAGAGGTTGATACTAAAAATTCTGATGAATGTGATGATGAAGTTATTGAAACTTTTGTTAACTATACCACCCGTGGAAAATATTGGAACAGAAAGAAAACAAATATTGATAATGCATTTGCATATTCTGTGGCACTCGATATAATGAAAGATGATGAGGATTATGAACCAAAATCAATTGATGAATGTCGGCAAAGAGATAATTGGGCAAACTGGAAAGACGCAATTAAGTCTGAATTGGACTCATTGAAAAAACGGCATGTATTCGGCTCTATAGTCCAAACACCAAAAAATGTGAAACCTGTTGGTTACAGATGGGTATTTGTGAGAAAAAGAAATGAAAATAATGATATCACAAGATATAAAGCAAGGCTTGTAGCCCAGGGTTTTTCCCAAAGACCGGGTATTGATTTTGAATAAACATATTCTCCGGTCATTGATGGAATAACATTCAGGTATCTGGTGAGCCTAGCAGTACACAATAATCTTGATATGCGATTAATGGATGTGGTTACTGCCTATCTGTACGGCTTCTTAGACAATGATGTCTATATGAAAATCCCAGAGGGGATTAACATACCTGAATCATTCAAATCAAAGCCAAAAGAATCATATTCCATCAAATTACAAAAATCTTTGTATGGGCTTAAACAATCGGGCCGAATGTGGTACAATCGTCTCAACGAAAGCTTAACAAAAGAAGGTTACATAAATGACCCTATTTGTCCATGTGTTTTTATAAAGAAAAATGGGTCTGAATTTGTAATCATCGCTGTATATGTCGATGATCTCAATTTAATTGGAACTCCTAATGAAATCCATAAAGCTGTTGAATATCTGAAAAGTGAGTTTGAGATCAAAGATTTTGGAAAAACTAAGTTTTGCCTTGGTCTGCAAATCGAGCATTTGGAAAGTGGAATCTTAATCCACCAATCAAATTATACCAAAAGGGTACTAAAACAGTTCATGATGGATAAATCACATCCGCTAAGTACCCCAATGATCGTCAGAGCACTCGATCCAGCAAAGGATCCATTTAGACCAAAAGAGGAAAATGAAGAAACACTTGGCCCAGAAGTGCCATATATGAGTGCTATAGGTGCATCGATGTATCTTACTAACAGCACCCGACCTGATATATCATTTGCTGTAAATTTATTGGCAAGATTCAGTTCATCGCCTACTCGACGACATTGGAACGGGATTAAGCACATTTTTCGCTATCTCCAAGGAACAATTGATCTCGGGTTATTTTACTTGAAAGATTCTCGACATGAATTAATTGGTTTTGCCGATGCAGGATATTTATCGGATCCTCATAAAGCCAAGTCGCAAACTGGCTATATATTTACTTGTGGCAAAACAGTGATCTCTTGGAGATCGATGAAACAAACTTTAACTGCCACTTCTTCAAATCATGCTGAAATATTGGCAATACATGAAGCTAGTCGAGAATGTGTTTGGTTGAGGTCAATGACTCAACATATTTTGAAAAATTGCAGGCTAATACCTGACGATAAAATTCCTCCAACTACATTATATGAAGATAATACAGCTTGTATAGCGCAATTGAAAGGGGGTTACATTAAAGGAGATAGAACGAAACATCTTTCACCAAAATTCTTTTTCATTCATGATCTACAACAAAATGGTGAAATCAATGTGCAACAAATTCGATCATATAATAATTTGGCGGATATATTAACCAAGGTATTGCCGATGGCAACATTTGAAAAACTGGTGAAGAAGATTGGGATGTGCCGGTTAAGGGATCTCAAATAATGCTCAGATCAGGGGGAGCGAATCGATACAAGAATGTTGTACTCTTTTTCCTTCATTAGGATTTTTTTGTCCCACTGGGTTTTTTCCTAGTAATGTTTTAACGAGACACATTCTTCGTACAAAAGCATCCAAAGGGGAGTGTTGTGAAGTGTACACGACGATGTCGACACAGAGGATACGTAGATGCTTTTATTCACAACCAAACTTTTACATGTACATGTATATAAATGGAATGGAATGAAAGGATCACCCATGCACAAACACAATACAATTCTCAATCTCTCTCTGCCTCTTCATTCATATTAATACTATCCTACTTAATAATATAATATAATATATAAAGGTCCACATTATATATATATATATATACACTCACGCAACGCACATATATATATATATATTTACTTATATATATTATATACAATATATAAAATAGTGGTTAGCGGTAGAGATAATTAATATTTCTATTGGCTAATCTTATAATAATATCACAATATCTTTAAATTTATTTATTTGTATGGAGAGATTTATTTATTTGTATGGAGAGATTGCATCTCTTTATATCAATTGTATTAATTTTATTTCTTTTTGCTTCTTTCACTTTAGGATTTAATTACTTTAAATTTTTATAAAAAAAATTATTGCATTATCATTATATTGAGTTTTTTTAACTCACAGTAACAACAACAATAATAATATACGCTGGAAATACAATCAAACATATTGATTTGAACATTATTTTGATTTGATAGAACAAATCTACTAACTATTCAAACAAAATAGATTGTTTATTGTCCCGTAATAATAGTCTGGTAGTCGGAGATAGACTCGTGGGCGCAGATCTACGCTAGGCCAAGGGGCTGCAGTCCCTCGTCCCACACCAATTTTTTTATTAAATATATGTATATATAATATATACATTAATAGAAAATTATAAAATTTATTGAAAAGTAATATTATTTTTATATTTTAATTTTAAATCGAATTTATTATTATTTAATTTGTATAATTTTATATTAAATATTATTTAAATAAAAAATAAATATAATGTTTAAATTCAACTTAAAACTAAACAAATCTTTAGTTGTGGGAATGAAATAAATCTAGGGTGTGTTTTTTCAAACCCAATACGAGGGTTTTTACTATGCAAATAGTTGTCCCTTATACCAACTCCAACTCCTAACTCAATTTTTGCAGGTCTACAATACATTTCTCCATTTTTGCAGGATCTGCTGCAGTAACCCATCTCCAACCATACTTTCTATTTTTGCAGGGTTAAAAAATATTCTCTTTATATTTTATTTTACATAATTTTAAAATTACAAATAAGATTTAATATTTTATTATTTTTATACATTTAAGTTATAATAATATTTTT